GCATCAGATCTAAACAAAACACCTTCAATCCAACCCATAAGAGTTCTTTTCTGTGAACTCCAGCTAACCTAATTAAAAGCTTGTTATAAAGGAAATATTAAGAAGTCAGAATTATAGGATATGATATGCCAGATTAGGCCAATTTTACTGAGTATCAGTCACTGAAATCAATAATAAAACTTAGAAAATTGGGGTAAAATTGATACAATAAAATCAGATGTCTGCAGGATAGCTCTTCTCTCACACAAATTAGTTAGAGGCTGACTTCCTATAGGGCTTTGACTCTTTGAGATACATAATTTTTTATTAAAATATCCAGCCGTTACAGCTGTCTAATTCTATTTTTCTCTTCCTACAACTGTTGAATCCCTTTCTTGAAGAGTGCCAAGCATTTGGCTTCAGTAATTGGAAACTACCTGTGTGAGGCTCCTACAGAAAGCACAGGGGCTTCTTACTCCTGCTGAAACAAATATTTTCAAATCTATACCTAAAAAAGAATTACACTGCTAAAGAAAGGCCATGTTGTGCTACTCATTACCAATGCTTTGTGGTTTCATTTTTTATTTGCTTTTATCTAGTTTGATTTGGCAAGCTTGCTCATTACTCTTCCCTTCATTCACATACATATTGTGCAGAACACAGTTTGACGTGGCTTTTCTTTTCCCCTATTTTAATGGCAAGATATCAACTGTTTTATTAAAAGGCTTAAATTTCAGCAGAAATCCCAGAAAATGCTACAGAAAATAAGTACATGCCAATGTCAATATGTCTTTTTAAGCTGTTAAATATCTAGTTCTTTTCTACTTGTGCTCTTTTTATTGCTGCCATGAAGTTGAGGAAAACTGGAATCGGGCATTTCACAGCTTTCTCCTTGAGCTGCAGAACCCTAAAATGTGAAGGATGGATTATCTTTTATTTCTTCTCTGCTGGAGACATGAGAGAAGATTTCAACCATACAGCTGTGGATCACTTTGAAAGTCCTTCTGGCACATAGACTGCTGAATTCCAGGGGGTTTTCTCAGGTAACACTCTTGTTATGGTCTCTGTGCATCAATGTCTATCCTCTTCTTTATTTTTATCTTTCTTTTCTCTTTATTATAAAGGGGAAGTCAATCATGACACAAGCCCCTCTAAAACAAGAAAGCACAACTCCTCCCTTACTTTGTAGAAGTTGTATGGAATTAAAGAATGTATTGACTCTTCTCATAATTTCATTATTGTGTAACATATTGAGAAAACTGGATGAAAAAAAATCTAATCTTTTTGCTATCTAAGTATTCCAGAAAGCCCCTGATTATTATTCTCTAAACTGAGGTAGTTCTATGGTCACCAGTTATAATAAAGGGTGTATTGCATAGGAACTGCATATTTACACACAAAAGTTGATCTGTATCCCAAAGAGTGCAATGACAATTCAGCTAGGCTGAGGGAAGAGTACTCCTATTAAATGAAAAAAGATTCCCTTAAAATTATATATGCATATATACATATATATATATATATATATATATATATAAACATATAAATGAAGTAGGGGGGGATATGTTTTGAAGTTCCTATTGTTTGAACATTTGCTTTCAGATTGTGATGCAAAAAATCAGTCTTAAGATGTACTCTTCATAGAAAAGCTCTAATCTCCATAAAATTGCAAAAATAATCAAAATACTTCATTTACATTCAATATGTAACCTGAATTCTTTTCCATGCTCAGATGAGACAGGCTGGAGTCCTGTCTTTTCTTCATTTTCTTCAGAATGAGACATAATTTCTCTTTATAAAATCTGCCTGTAACCTTCAAACCTCTGTAGCAAAGCTCCCTATTAACATAGATTCTGACTTATGATCTCCAAGGCAGCTGTCTTGGCTTTTCCAGAAGATTAAACCTTCTGTGTTACTTTACATGTAGAATAAAATGCACTTATTTTTAATTACAGAGTGGGAATATGGAAATTTTAAAAATAAAAACATATTCCATGTTCCAATTTGCCATTATGACAGAAGAGAATCACTCCAATTTGTCTTCCTGATAATTTTAGTGACTTTCACCTCAGTCCCAGGTTTATGCAGGGTTGAAATATTGAGAACTGCTGGGCAATCAAATTCTGGAGAGATTGTTTCTGTAACAGGGTATTTTCAGACCTAGACTACATGTTTGGATATAGAATACAATAATTATGGATTTGCTTCCAGTACAAGTTCCCTGGAAGAGACAATCCAGGTTCATAGTGAAAAGAACTGACCATTTTTTTTTTCAGATTAAATCCTACAGACTTCCTATTCAAGAGTACAAAGAACCCAACCATCTGTTTGCTGCCTTCCTCAGGATACATGATCAAGAACTCTTTACATATTATAAATCCTGAATTGTTTTACAAGACATGGGTAACTACGAACACCTTCATCTTACAGAAGGGTGGAAGCACAGAAAGTTGTGGTGACACATACCCAGAGCAGAGACAAGATACAATTGCCTGCTTCTCTCACCCACAGCTCTGTGGATGCCCACACTGCTCAAACCAAACCCCACCTCCTGTTTCTTTTTACACAAGAAAAACTGGTTCAGATAGAAAGCTCCCAGAGTAGCTGGCATGATTTTCACTGTACTAAGTGCCTTCTTCCTGCAGGGCAGCCTGTGCAATTGCCGCTTAAGAGATGCTTTTTAGCTGGGGGTTGACATTTGCAGGAAGAAGAGGCACAGATGCCAAAGGAAGAGCAATGAAGCAGCCCTGGGATAATAACAGTGTGCAAAAGTACCCAAGGAGATCTGGAGGAGTAGCTGCTCCAGAGCACCACTGTAGAAAGTGGCCATCTTTTTTTTTCCAAATCTGCAGTTTCTCTGGGGTTCAGACAGATTATTCACTACAAATATTTACCTGCCACATCTCGGCATGTTTCTTTAAGATCTATATTGCTTGAGAGTATTACTGACACAGAACTGGGTTTTTTCAATGTAAAATATTGATTTTCAAGTAAACTTGTCAGTGTGAAGGCTGAAATGGAAAAGGTGAGTGTTACAGACAAACCTTCTCAGGTCCTTCTTTTTTTACTATAAAATATAACACTGATATACTAACTTAATTATTTTAGGCCAGGCTATTTAATTTTTCTTGGGATGGAAATTAGATTAATTTTCTCAGCTATCAGGAAAAGTGTAAGAGTATTTCTGCTTTTAACAGAAAAAGCAGAAACATTTTTCTGAGTTGGAGGTTTGCCAAGTTTTACAAAGTCAGATACAATCTTCCTAAGAGGTTTGGACTTCTCAGATTAAATTGCACAATTACATGCATCTCTGATAATGTGGACTTGTGCACTCCTCCTTTTTCTCAAGTTTCTGTGTAAAGTTATATATTACTTTTGGAAATAAAAAGGAAATAAAGTGTGTTTCATAAAGAAGGCCATTCCTCAAGATCTCAGTTGGAAAGCAACAAGTATACATTACCATGCAGCACTGAACTGAAAATACTTGAGAGATATAGTACCAGATTATTTACTTACATTGTGCAGTTTCTCCATAGCTAGAGCCGGGATGATTAGAAAACAGAAAGGTATTTTTGAGCCAAAACAGGTAAAATTTTCAAAGAAAATAACAAGAACACACAGACAGAAAAAAATTCTACAAAAATTAATAATATTTTCATACATAGAACTTCTTCATCTGATGATCCCTTTCCTAGTCTTGTACACAAGTGTTCAAACCCAACAAAGCACAAACATTTACAGACATTGTGGTGGTTTCACACTGATTGACATTTGGGGAAGTAAAAAAAAAAACCATCCTTCTTTGAGCGAAGCTGCTGGGAGCTTCCTTTGTGCCTGGGAAAGGCCAATAGCTGGCTCGTTCTGAGAACTGACAACATTTTGCACCATTTAGAAATTAGATCCACCTCTGTGAATTCTACATTTAATAAACCACAAGCCCGTGAGCTAACTCTCTTCGCTTCTGGCCTCAAAAGGTAGCAGAGCTCTGGTGGGGCCAGCCCCACTCCCCTGCAGCCTGGGGGAGGCTGGGCTGGACTCCAGCAGCTCCCGGGCTGGGGATGGAGGCTGCAGGGACCCAGCCCCAGGCTGGGCCAGGCCATGGCTGCTGACACCTTGCTGACACTAAGCCTCCCCCCAGCCCGCACTGATGGCTCCAGGCTGAGCCTGCCCTTCCAGTGGCTGCCGGGCAGAGGGAGGGGCCCAGCACGGCCTGAAATACAACACCGTGACTGCTGCAGCCACTGCCTACGACCATCTGCAGGCCTGGCAAGATTTAATTCTTTCTGTGCACAGATGAGACCTGCAGACCACAATGCCCCCCTCAAGAGAAAAGGAGAAAGTGGGAACACGTAGAAGACAATGTGAAAACACTGAGGTCAGTAAAGAAAGAGTCAAGGCCGAGACAGAAGGTGAATGAGTAGATGCCTTAGTGTTGGGCTGAAAAATTCTTTTGGTAGGGCTATGGAAATAGACAATGACATACTGAAATACCCCTTTAATTCATGAGAGAGTATGGGAGGATGAAGCATTCAAACTGTAGATAGGAGCAGAGGCATCGATTGATGAAGCCAAGCAGATGCTGGAGTAGCTGTGATCCCATGAGAAGCTTGAACAGAGAGTGAGATGAGAGTTGATGAAGACCCTTTGTCCCCAGGGAGAGAAGAAAAAACCTCTGTTCCCAGAGATGACCACAGATAAAGATGAAGAGAACCTTTGCCTTTGAACAACTCATCCTTAAAACAGTACCCCATGAGTTCATGGCCCATGGACACACCTCTGAGAGGGCTGTGAAAATGGGAGGAATGTCACAATGCAGAACTTTTCCCTGGCAGTTGCTATCCATGGAAATGAAAAGTGACAAGAAAACTTTCTTTTGGAGAAGTCTCTGTGGCATGACAAGAGAAAACTCCTCTCCCTACAAGAACTAATGAAAGACTATTGTATAGTTGGTAGTGATTTAACATCCCAGGTTTTATCTCTGCGTTGTCCGTTGGGAAAAGAAAGAAGTTAGGCAGGGGGAGGAAAAGTGTTCTGGAAGTTTTATTCTGATGCTTCTTATTCTTGTAGTCCTGTTAATAAGGTTTCTTTATACCTTTCAAGTTGTAAGCCTGTTTTGCCCTTCTCCTAATCCATATCTCACAGCAAGAAATGAGTAAGTACACTGGTGATTTTAGTCAGCACTAAACCCACCACAATGACACACAAATGTGATAACGGAGAGCCTGAGAGAAGTACATTGACATCAGATCTTAATTAAAAATCATATGATGAAGTGATTTCCTTCCTCTGTTAGTAAATTCTGATGATATTGAGCAGCAGATGTCAAATTGGAAAGGCCACATGTGATCTGATGAAATACTGATGCCTGCTTAAAAATGAAACAGAACTGTAAAATTTTAAGTTCAAAGCTTTGAAGTTGAAAGTTTAACTTCCTACCTTTCATGCACAGAACCCTCACAGGAGAAGGTCTGTTTAAAAGTCAGCAGAAAGTTTAATCCTTTTTGTTACTGTGTGTCAGCTATTGCTGGAGATGCATTTTTCAGTGGATTCAGCAGTGCACTGTTCCTCTGTCTAGTGCTCAATTAACCATTATTGTCTGTTGCACAGTTGTTCTGCCAAGTGTTTCAATGTTAAATGTTACTGTACAAATTCATTGATTAAAAAGCAAGTGTATTTTGCATATCTCTGAATCAAATGCCACTTGCCATCATCAGACTTTAACAAGATAATTTCTTTTTTTAAATGCCACTTTACAAAAACCCTCAACAACTCCATCAGCAACAAGTGGGAGAATTTAACAACCCATGTGTTTTCTCATAATTAGTGGATTTGAAAAGTAAATTCCCATTTGGGGAATTTTCCCACCTGAATCTTCAAGCAGATGCTAATAGGCTTGGAACTACAGAGGAAGGTATTTTTAGGTCAGTGATTTTTCAGCAGCAGTAATAGAAGCTCTACAGTTTTGATACAACAGCTCCAACAGTACAACTCTTGTCTCCAAAGACCGGGTTTCAGTAAAGTGCTATCACTTATTAATAAACTAGTTGGAGTGCAACCACTGATGTATGGAATTTTGAATATGCTTCACTGGATTGGAATAGTGGTGATGTTGGCATCTATCTGATTATTATGGACCTGTCAAAACACAGAACCCTGATGTGGCAAGGCTCATTAAATGCTTTCAGTTAAAGAAAGTCCCTTTAGAAGACACTTTGTCTTCAAAATTTTTTCGAAATATCATCTTGATGCTTTGCAAATTATTTTTGTTCCCTGTACCTGATTGCTGCTTTGAGCTGGACACAGCAGGCTGAGATCTGAGACCCAGTGAATTTTCTCCTGACTTGGTTCAGCACACCTGCTTGTCAAGTTCTGTTCATACTTCCTTAAAGTAATAGCTGTGTTTTTAACATCATTGTTTTGTAATTAAGTTTTGGCATGATTTCCTAGTGAGAAGGAAGTTCAAAAGTAGTAACTTACAAACATGACTGAAAAAGAGATTATGATAATCTTGATTTTTGGTAATTTCCTCTATGCCTTATAAAAACAAATGGTGAGGAGGTTGAAAACAACCCATGATTTGTAAGAGAAGCCCCAATGTGAGCACACTGTGCTGGTGAAAAATGCACAATCTATAGCAGAGTCATAAGAAGGCTCCCATTCATTTTCTGTGTCATGGTGCTGATAGTCTCCTTACTCAGAATTTTCAGTCAAAAGGTGGTATGTATTAGCTTGAGAAGTCTTGGAAAGAGAATGTTTTTACAACACTTGTCTTAGATCAGTCTTTCTTTTTATAGAACATTGTTAAAAACTTTGATCTTTCTGGGTTCATTACAAGCACACCCATTGTGTGTTATTCAATTCTTTACTTTCAGCATGAATAAACATTTCCCCTTCATAAATCACAGCTGACACTAAAGAGGAATTTCTGGGTCAGCTAGTTCACCCGCAGTCCCAATTGCTGTTGCTCCTCCTAACTATAGGAGTCATCTTTAAGTAGCTCTTGAGTCACTTGCCAGGGTATTCAGTGTTCTTTAGTGGCACAAAACAGAATCAGTCCTCTGCTTTCTGCACATCTGAAATATTGAGTTAAAATTTCTCCATATAGCAGGAAATTTTGCCTTATGAATCTAAAACTTTGCCTTTTAGACTTCTTTGAAGATGTTCTATTTTAGAGGGAATGCACAAAGTTTGTTTCGTTTGTCCTGAACATTATTCTCTTATTACATGCTCATTATTGTTAATGAGAGAAATTCTGCCTCTTAAGTTTTTCTTAAATCTTCTCAATTTTTTATTATTCTAAATGTCTATCATTCTATGTCTGTATTTGCTACCCTTGTTGTGCTGGAAACAAAGTTATTTTAGCACATCAAGCAGTTGCCACATGTAGTCTTACTATAACATTTGATTGAAGAAGGACTTTTTCCATCTGAATGGGCAGCAGCCCACACAGTTTGCAGTAATTTCTTAATTTATTCATTTTTAGAGCACTACAGATTGGGAGAAATATTTTCAGATTTCTGACTGTTTGGTTTAGAATCTATCAGGTAACCTCTGCCTGAGAATAAAATATCTAAGGATGCTCAGGGAAATAAGAGTTCTTTCATTTCAGATGTACAGGATTTGATTTCCCAAACAGAAGAAGAGGGATTAAAGACTTATTGTATGTAGCTGATGGTAAACTCAGGGTGAAATGGAGAAAAGTAACCTGCTTGAGTAGAAAGTGAAAGAAAAGTTTCAAATCAATGTTAAGCACAATTTATGTGTAGTAGACTTTATTATTAAATTCATTGAATGTTGAAACAGGAAATAAAACTCTTAAATGCTATTATCTTGCTTTTTATTTTTATTTTTTTTTTCCCCAAATTGTTTTTCTGTTCTGTAATAAGAAATATAAATCATATGTTTAAGATGGTTTGGGGTAGAACAGAATCCTGTTAGAGCTTCTTCAAATAGATTGCTTTGTATCACCAGTTTCACATCAGCTAATATTTGTATTCTGGTGCACTTGAATAATGAATCTGAAGTATAGCTCCAAGAAGTATTTGTAAAGAACTGCGTAGGTGAAATGAACTATTGAAGTGGGAGTTGCTGAAATTGCTGAGTTTTCCTGAAAATAATCCCTAAGTAGGAAAAAAACTGTACCTGAATTATTTGGTTACTTCTTATGTCTTTCTTCCTTTCTACACTGCTTAAAGTAATTTTTCCCTTTTTTTTTAATACCAGTTTCCTGCAGCATTTGAATTCAACGAGTTATTTTTGATCACCATTCTGGATCACCTTTATAGTTGTCTATTTGGAACTTTCTTATGCAACTGTGAAAAAGAGAGATTAAAAGAGGTAAATAATCAGTATAATGCACATTCTTGGTTTTCTGATTTTATATAAAAATAAACTAAGAACGTCCGAGCTATGTTTTTTAATACACTTGGCACATAGTCTTAAAAAACAATGCAAACATTACATTTCATGGTATGAGAAATATATACTGAATGCCCTACCATTACGTAAGGTGGCACTTAGGCTTCTTTAGTTATCATCTGTTTGGGGGGTGGTTGAGAGTTTTAGTAAGTCCTCTTGCAGGTATTTTTAGCCAAAATACAAAATTTTAAATAATAGTAATTATCAAATTATATTAGCATTTTTTTCACTGTTTCCAAAGGAACCCCTGTGTATGACTTGGCAGGTTACTATAGGATATAACTGGAACTTGTGGTTGAGGACTACAGAAATTAAAATTATCTAAGTGAATGACGTTAGGACTCAATGAAATATGAAGTGTTTGTGAAGAAAAATTAACAGTTTGTTAACATGCCAAGTACACTTCTGCTTACTTGTGGCTTTGTTGTTTTTGCTATCTCATTTTTTGGAGGAAGTTATAATTCCTTGTTATATTAAGTTTGGCTTTTTTGTTTTTAGTTTGTCTCTTCTGCTTCTGTAGGGGAAAAGTTGCATGTAAATACCACAAGATGGAGCTGAATAACATGTTCTTAGCAGATGCAGGGTTTCCAGACAGCTTTCTTTCATAAATAAATAGTCATATGCAATTATCAGTAAAAAAACACAATTTAAGACACAGCAGTAGTAGAAATACATGCTTTACAACACTGAAGGAGTTTAAATTTGCAAGATGAATCTGATGTAAGTTCAGATTTCCAATCTTTGGTCTAACCATTATTATGCTGATTAAATTTAGAATAATACAACTTTCAGAAGTGCAAATAAAGGTACAAGTAGTCAGTTTAAGGCATAATATCAATTACTTATTAGGAGCAATTAGTATGACTGGAAAATTAAATAATTATTATTCACAGACATTGTTTTAGGTCTTCCAAACTCCATATCTCTTCACTGATATTCTTGTTAAAGCGAATCTTTTTAGTTTAGTTGGTCAGTGTGTAACCATGTATTTAAGTAGCTGCGTGTATTGCAGTAAATTATGAGCAATACAGGTTGTTTTTGCTCAACTAGACTTTGGTGTCTCTGAAATTAATATGTCTAAATCTCCTTTCTCTATTAGCCCTGGACCAAAATAAGTGTTCAGATGTTTTGCTAAAGTTTTAAGACTGTTTAATGATCGGCTACTGGAAGTGTTCTCAGACTGCATGTAATTTTCTAGTAGATAAGGTAAAATTCTGTCAGAATTACTGATACTTAGATATTAACATCATATTTTAAAATTTTGCAATCCACGTCATTGATTTTTTATTTTAACTTTTTTTCAATCAGGAGTTGAGCACAAAGACTGTATCTCTGTGGTCCTATATAAACAGCCAATTAGAGGAATTCACAAATCCCTTCTATGTAAACTATGAAAACCATGTCCTGTATCCTGTTGCCAGTCTGAACCATTTGGAACTGTGGGTGAACTACTACATCAGGTGGAACCCAAGGATGCGGCCTCAGGTATGAGCTTTCACGTGTCTTCAGTGTTTTACTGAAGGTCACAGAGATTGAGATAAATTATTATTTTTCCTAGTGTCAAATGCAGCGTTTAATACAAAAGTACTCATCTGTTGCATATATTTCAGCTGATAGGGAAAAAGGTGTTTGGCATGAAGTTGATGCAGGATATGGTCAAACTTGGAAAAAGGATGTTTTCATTAAAGTCACTCACAAACTAGGAAGTTACAGTATCACTGTATTGGCTTGTAAAGATTAGCAGTCTTTTTGTGTCAGAAGATTACTTTTATAATACTTTGTAACACTTTTTAATACTTTTATTGCCTTAACCTTCTAGTAGTTTCTGTGTGCCTTTGTTTTTAATCAAATTTTGCCCTTTCCCCAGCACTGACATAAAATGTACCAGCAGTTTCTGAAAGAACTGGACTAGACCAAATCATTTTGCTGGTTCTCTAAACTAAGCATCCCATGGATACTTGTTTCCAATTGACTTTTATAGTGTGAAAAACGAGATTCACTTAATAAATTATAAAAAGTTTAATATAAACAAAAAGACAATTAGGAGACAAAGGAAATAAAGCAAAGGGTTAAAACGGCCGGGTGCCCTGGTGGGTTGCCAGGAACACACCTGGTATCTTGGGAACACTCTTTTTATCCCCTCCTGCTGTGAGGGTTTAATGCATATTCAAACTTTTTCAAGAAGTATTTAGCATGTCCCCTCCCTGGTTCCGCCTACTCCCGCTGCCAATGGCCTGGTCCTGGCTTCTGATAACAGTTTGGTCTCCATTTCCTGCTGCTGATAACAGCCTGGTTTCCACTGTCCTTCTGCTGAAACAGCTTGGACCTCCCATTGTTTTGCCTGTTGGAGTTATCTTGCCTTGTCCAGATGAAACATATCCCTACCATTCAGAATTCCTTTCTAAGCCTATAACTTGCTAAGAGAGAGAAGAATATAGCAAAAGCATATAGCATATAACATTTATCATAATACTTGCGAAAAGCCAATATTTACAATATGAATTCACAACAATCGTTTTTAGCTGGCATACTAAAGATTAAACATTCCCCATAAATGCTCCTTGATTCATCCAGTATTTGTTCTTATGAGTAATATCTGCTATTCAGATAAATCTCTAAATCTCATCAGACAAATGCTCCATATGCTCTCATGATTAGAAGTCTGAAAAAAGAACAATCACATTGTGTCACAACCATAATATATCTGAGTGTGCTACACCATCTTTTTTAAGGTAACATTCCAAGGTACTCCCCAAGGTACCCCCAAGCATATTTTTCTAAATTACCTGTATTAAGTGATTGCTTGAAAGCTACTTTCATCTTGTAGCAGTTAGAATGAGATGTGAATTTCAGACTTACTAGGCATCCACAAGTCAGAGGCTGTTGTTAAGATGGTGTTCCAAGGTAAGTTTCAAGGACACTTGGATTTCTCCCACTACACTGGTAGAAGTCCAGGTATCTGAGAAATTCCTTTTAAGGTCCTGGAAAAGTCTGGCTTGCTTGCTTTTCTCACTGAAGTGTCTCCTCTGAGCTGCTTTGTTTTTCTTACTTGTTAAGACTTTGAAAGATGGTGTAATTTAAGTTATATAATTTTCAAGTGTAATTGTCAGCTGCTTTTTAGCAAAATACCATCTTTCCATTAGCCTGTTTGCTGAACACAATTTGGGTGGTGTTTGCACTACATGCAGTAGTGTTGGTTTATGACTTGTATTTGAGATCTCCAGGCCTTGAGAGCAAACAGGTTTTGTGTACTACGAAAGCCAGTCCTGGTCCAAAAGAGGGAGAGTGGGGAAGAGATAACATAATGAGGTGATACTAGAGCTGTCACCTCTTAGTGAAAGCTCTGTTCACTGCCTTTGTCACTGAATGCTCTGCCTGCTTCTCAGTCACTCTGGCATGTGAGACTCATTCAGTATCTGAGAGCAGGTCCCCCCAGAAGCAGCTGAAGGGAACAAAACGTAATGGTCCTGGTAACTACCTTAACTTTCCTGCCACCTGCTTTTCTTGAAGTACTTAAAGTGTTTCAACATTTTAGTTCTACCAGGTAGTATTGTCTTGGTACATCATCCCTTTTCTCTTGTCTCTGGCCTTTAGCCTTTATGTGATATTTATGACCAATATTTGGGAGTGTTTCACATCTACTTGGATAAATTAGCAGCAGAAATTACAATTTTTTGTTGCAGAATTGCATTTTCCAGTCTAATTATGAAGGCACAAACTCATACAGGCAAATAAATAAACAGTTTCTGCAATCTACAATATACTAAGTTGCTTTCCTCTATATTTGCATTGTCTGTGTCACACCCTGTTAACCTGTTAATCAATTCAATAACATTCAGATGCATTCAGTGACAGAAAAAAAGCCAATGACCCTTGTGACACCCAGCAGGTCTTCACTTATCTTCAGTGAAAAAAAATTTTTAATCAGTGGATTTATTAAAATAATGGGCATCCCTGCCTACGGATAAAAGGTGATTTTGTTGAATAACTTTTAATGTGTTCTCTTGATTCTCAAGTAAATATAAGAGAAAATAAAATATTTAACATGAATAAGTTCTCTGATGATTAGTTCATCACTAATGAACCTTGTGGTGTTTTATCATCTGCAAAAACATCTTTAGAAAACTAAAACATGTTTGTTTTTTCTTTTTAAGAGCTCACCAAAAAGAAGAAAAGGCCCAATAGGTGAATTTAAGGGAAGATGAATAATAGTACTTTGAATATAATCAGAATAGATCTTTGATACCCATTTTCAACAAACTTGGTGTTATGGGAGAGAAATCTCACAGCAGAAGGGCAGATTTTGGTTGGAAGCAATATTTTAGGTTTTCTCATTTCTGCTTGATTAGTGAGCTTGATTTTTAAATGGACTGAGAAAAGTTTCATTGCACTTCATTGCCTTTTCTATTGAAAATGAGCATATATGACGTGTAACTTTTTTAAATTTTAAAATTACTGAATGTTAACTTGATATAACCATTTATTTGTTTTTGTATTATTGTACTCCGTCTTCAAATATCTGTGTCTCAGCCTTTACCAATGTGCTACAGTCTGAGCATATTCTTCATTGTCCTAGGACATACAGAGTTTAGCAGTATTCTTATGTTCCATAATGATTGCTTAGAATGATATAACCTCTCTAAGCTTTGTTGAGATGGTGGTTTTGATCATATTTATTTGCATCAAGAGCTCTGTTTATTTTGTATTGCAATAGATCTTGTGCACTTAAGGACACATAGCCTCTTTCCATAGGGTTCAAAGCTCAGGAGTCTGAGAAGTGAATACTGTGGAAAATTCTAGGTTAAATGTGGTCATCTCTTGTTACTAAATCATGCTGCAACAAGGTCATTCTAATTCTTAAGTGAAATAAAATGTTCTTTGCCGTGGCGGTGTCGATGACAGGGGTGCCATGACTACCCTGAAGAAGCTGTCCTGAAAAGGACTGCCCAGGAGCACAGGCACGTCCTCTGCCCAGCGAGTGATTTCAGCTCAGCGGCAGCGTGCAGGCATAGCCTTTATTGTAGCAGGGCCCTCAGTGAAGGGAGCCAGTGACAGCAGCTCCCCGAACTGGGGGAAAAACCAGGGTATTTATTGGGAAGGAGAGGGGCAGGGGAAATTTGGATACATGTATTGGGGTGGATTGATAGGGAGGAAAACCAATGGGGTGTAAGAAATTAACATGTTCAACTCTAGGGCCTCTGGGAGTGACACTTTTTCTCTGCATGACTTAAAAGTGTCTCACCTAGGGAGAAGCTCTCCAGGGGAAAGCCAGGATTTCTGAACTGGCCAGTTCCTCGGCCTCCACAGTTCTTTGGTTTGAGTTTGGAGGCATTACATCATTATTGACTTCTTGTCCCAAGAAAATTAGATAGATTTAAGCTCTGTCATATTTGAGTTCATTGACTGAGAAGACCTTTTTCAGATTTGCCCTTTCTTTGAGTTGGAGAAATGTTTATTTGTATGTGATGTGTGAAAGAGAAGCTCTTCCATTCTCTTATAGAGAGGTGTGGGCTCTGTGGGTATGGCCTTCCAGATAGCCTGGAATACATTAGATAATATGATGCTTTTGAATTTTTTCAGTGGATATATATTTTTCTGCTGTCTATGTAGTCATTTCATTGTCTTCTTGATATTGTTTGAGGAGTTCTGGCTGCCAGATGTCATTAGATATCTCCTTGGGCATCCCTGGAAGGTGCGGAGAACACAACACTGATGTTCTTGAATCTTGATCTTGTTCTGATCTCTGCAGGGGCAATATTTTTTAGCTAACATATCCCATCGTTCATATATGCAGAGCATGAGTAAAAGTTCCAGTCCTTTCAAGTCAAGCTGTGAGAGGCAAAGAAAATAATGCAAGTTTTGCACAGTCTGTTAGGACATATTTAGTTCTTTTTGTGCTTTCTTGAAAATTAGTTTTAACTGTTCGAGGACAGGGCTTAGTTTAATTTTGGTTTTATGTGGTTTTTTGGAGGTTTTTTTCTATGCCTGGTAATTTTTCATCAAGCTCTGTTCTGTAAATTTGGCCACAGTGCTCATGTTAATAATATAGAAATCCCTGTCCTTTCTCAAATTCATTCTTTTCTTTGTGTGTGTGTACTGTCATCCAGAGTAAAAGGCTAGCACTATTTATTGCCTAGAAATTAAATTCAGCTAATGTAATGGGATCATCTGCTAAAAACAATCACAGATCTTCTGTGGAAGAGTCAGGGTAATTCTGTTGGCTGGTTAGCAGCTCACTTAAAGATGTGAAAGGGAAAGGTAGGAATAAGTAAAGCCATTTGTTTGCTATATACAGAAATTACTGTAAAGTATATAAATAACTTAGAATTGCTGCTTTTATTTGATGCTATTGCAGAAGGATTTGATGTGTTATACAGTTGAGCAGTCAGATGTTAGCTGAGCTTCGGTGTCAATAAACACAAAATACTGTATAGTGAAGACAACAAATAAGATCCTGAGTGTCACTGGGAAAATTTCTGTCAATAAACCAAAAAACATAACTACTGAAATGCTTTATCCTGCATTTAACAGGATAATGTGTAACTTACTGCATATAACTTACTGTCTGGCACATGGAGTGTTCATGTATTTATCCCTGCCTTCAGTCACACTGCCTGGTATGTTCCTCTCTGAGCAAGTGGATATTGGGGTATTTTTAAATGTCCACACATTTGATTTACCACCATTTTGTGGCAGGACAGAGCTGTCATACAGCTCTGGAATTGCTTGGTATTGCTGGTCCTGAGTCCCTCTTTTTGAAGTAAGGGTGAGGCAGGAGATGTCAGGAGAAAGAGTTGCCTTGGGTTAGACAGATGAATGTTACCTTAGCAAAGCAGATTTCATCCCTGCAACTAACAAAGAGTTTCTAATGAGATGAGGCAGGTTTTGGCCAGTACCTGGTAGTTTCTCTCTAGCTGAGTGTCAAGTCCAGATTTCAAGAGTCTCATTTACTGCAGATAATTTTAATCTACAGATAAAATTCTCAGTATTCAATCAGTATTGAATAAAACAGAGACTAACTGGTTATCCTGGATGCTGAAAGAAACTGTAGTTACCTAAGAAAAATAAATTGGTATCCTATAGTGAGTGTCAGAATGTGCACAGAATAGGGGAAGCTAGTACTGTGCAAATAAGCTTCATTTTGGGGAGTTTCTGACACATTTTGAAGTGCAAGAACTCAATTTCTCTCATGTCTCAGATGTCTAAATCTAAATGGGCTGTAGCTTTCAACAGGCAATGGCATCAGCTTGTAGCATATACAGTTTCCTGAGTCTGGAAATATATCAGTTGTTCCAGTTCCCATCTGGTAGCATTCACAGTTTCTCTCCGTGCTTTTCCAGGAGGTTTTTGCTAGATTTCTCAGGAGCACACCTGTACAAAAAAATGTGGAAATATTGACTGTTATTGAAAATTGCTGTCTTCATCATTTGAGATTGCCTTTTGCAAGTGTCCTGTTAACTAGGCTGTTAGAGTTCCAGTTCTTCACAAAGAGGAACAAAAAGCTCAGGTGAAAGATATTCTTGTCTTTCCAAGGCACAGAGTAAGTTTTTGGAAAACTGACAGTCTTAAGTTGAGCAATGAATTTAAAATAAATATTTTCCTCTGTAGCTTTTCTTCCCTGTTGTAAAAATAGATGAAGTCTGTTCATTAAACAGGACAAAATGCATTCACTTTTGAACAATTTTCATGTGAATGGCTGTCCTTGAGCAAGTAGAATAACACACCATAGATATCTATCCAATTAAGATTTGGTGGTACTATAAGTGAGTAGCTGTTATAATTTCTCTTACATCTATCGTTGTGTCAACAGATTTTGCTATCCAAAAGCACTTCAGGATCCTGAAGGATTCCTTGGGAATGAAAACCTGAAAATCAATACTGAAAGTGAGCTGTAGTAATTCTGTGAAGAGGAAGGCTTGACTTTTTGAGGAAATGAAGCTGTCTTATGTCTAGGTGGTTTTTATGTGGGATGTAGTATGTATTGGTATAGGATAACTATAATTTCTTCGTGGCCATAGTTTAAAAAAAAAGAACAACTTTATTTTTCCTCAAATCCTTCCTCAGCAGGAATAATTCATCGTAACTGGAGTGGCATGTGCTCAGCATTACACTGCAGCAGGTTCTGCTTTTGATGTATGTGGATAATTCAGTTTTACAAATAGTTTCATATCAGTGGTATTTTTAGCAATAAAGAACATTTTGGCAGTGTTCTAAGTACTTTTCTGCTCAATGTAGGCAGTAGGCAACCTGTCGTTAAGGTGGAGGAAAAGTACCTGCTTTTGAATGAAACAGGCAGCAAAGGAAGCTAAATGAGGAAAATAACTGCCACCCATTTTAACTGGTTAATTAACTCCTCTCTCTACCAGGGAGTAGAAACCCTGGGGAGATAGGGAAACTGGCAGAGGGAAGAGAAGGGAAGGGAAGGGAAGGGAAGGGAAGGGAAGGGAAGTCTATAAAGCTTATATTTACTGCTGAGGGTATTTCTCTGGACAGGTAAAAGGACTTGGGGCACAGGGTTTGGGTAAGTGGTAAGAAAAAGTTAGTTATGAGGCAGGGGAGCAGGATGTAGTCTGACTTTCTGAGTCAATATTACAGTAACAACTGGGGGAAAAAAAAAAAGGGGTAGGGGACGAAACAAAACAAAAATATCCCCATCACTGAGAAGTCTTCTTGAAGTGTTTTGGGTAGATTCTTCTCCAGCTTTTATGGTGCTAGCTTTTTGGTTAATGCCTGGAGTGAGGTCAGACTTCCCAAGGATCCAGGCCCTTTTACCCACTACTTTATGGTGCTGGCAAACTCCCTGTTTCATTCTGTGGCTAGCTATATTAGATGCAAGTGCCAGTTTTGTTTTGGGTTGATCAGCTTCTAACTGTTCATAGTAAATTTTATGTGACTAGAGAAATCTATTTCTACTTCTTATAAATAGTACATGGCAAAATTTTTTTATGAAGTTAACTTTCCAAAATCCATTAAAAAGGTATGTAGTACATTCACATAGTTTCTGCTTCATTTTTACTGGTCTATTGTGTTAAACCACAGAAACGAAATTTACTGTTTTTCAGTACATTGAAATAATAGTTTAAATAGCACATGAGAAACATTCTGAATAGCAATGGCTAGGCAATTTTCCAGCCCAGCCAAACTGTAGATGCATTGCTGGTAGAGTTTCATCTGTGTAGGCTCCTCTCATGCAGCAGAAATAGTTGCATGTTTTTAGCTGGGTTATGCACAGAAATGATGGACCTGGCTGTAGAAGCTGAGTGTTCCCTGGCAGCATCACTGTGGGGACACTAGTCTAATAGGTCAAGAGTCATCTTTTGAGCTTCCTCTCCTAATCTGAGAGGCAAAATGAGAGAGCAGAAAACAGTACAGCTCCTGTCAGCTTCCCAACAAATTCATTTCAGGCAAACCGATTACATGATTTCTTAACAAGACAGTAATAAAAGCTTGAGTTGGAGACATGCTTTTAGGGTTAAGGTGGTAACAGATCATTTAATAAACGATCTTTGAACTTCTTGTTCCTTACAGAATCTGTCACTCTTCCACTTCATTCTAAACAGTGGCAAAGTGAAGGAGGGCCTTGTTTACAGCAAGCCATTACAGGTGTTTATGTGAAGGTTGTTGGACCCATTTCCTTCTGAAGAAGGTTTTATTTGAGAGGGGAATCTCATGATGTGATAGAACACGGTGAAGTGACAAAACTGGAGATGGTTATCTGTAAGAATTTTTACAGGATGGTTTGAGGATGCACTTGACAACAACAGATCTGCCTCAGAATAAGTCTTTAGAAAGTGTGAAAATGAACTGACATTTTAATGTTAATGTTTTTCATGACAGAATTTAATTCATGATGCTTCATCTTTTTACTCTTCCTCCTCCATCTAAGATGGAAGGAAGCTTCCAGAAAGCTGCATAATTCCATGGTTTTCTTAATGATTTTGTTGAAAAAAAAAAAAAAAGAAAAAAGAAAAAAAAATACCCCAAAACACATAACTTAAGGTTGAGGCTTTGTTGTGGGCATATCCTCCCCTTTTCACTCTATTTTCATTCTTTCACTTTTGAATTTGCTGCTTTTTTTTCAAAAAAGGACAGTTACAACAACAGAACTGAAGACATCTGGAGGAAAACATGGCTCCTCATGCCAGGCTGTTTTTCAGGTCTTTTTGTAGGAACTTCCATGGTACTTCAGGTGCTTATACCACCTTTTCCATACCCCATGATATTGTAATTTGAATATGAACCTTTATTACTAAAAAATCAGCAATTTTCAGTTGCTTGAGATTTTTATAGACTGAATTTGACATGTTATTTCATGAAATTAAAGTGTTTATTGGAAGTTTAACATGTGAAACCTATTTCTAGAATTTTATTGTTTAATGTTGTGTGCATCCACATGATCCACATTAACACATTAACAGGATGTGTTAATGGCAATCAAAAATAATCTTTTACTGGGAAAGACTTCATATCAGAAAATCCTTTGTGTTTACACTACCAGATGAAATGACATGATGATATTTATGTGGAACTGTCTTGCAGTGTTTAACATGCCCTTACTAAAAGATGGCAAATACTTAGAAAGTGATTCCCTTTTTTTCCCCTACTGTAAGATCCTGCTCTGCCTTGCTTACAGCTTAGCTGGGCTCTAATGGTTTGCATTGAGTCCCTAAGTTTGTGTGTCTGACTGAATTGTTTTGTAAAACTTCATCCAAGAAGGCTCAGTTGCTTATGAGAATGTGACTAAGAAAAATGTTTTCCCGTATGAAAATATTGGGAAACTTATGGGACTTCTCTTAGGACAAGGGGCTGTTTTTCTATAAATGTTCTACCTCTGGGGCAAATGAGATTTTAATAAGATTATATTTCAGAAACTGACCCACTCATATTGTGGAAGAAATTCCTCCCATTTGGAGGTCTGAGGCTGCAACAGTCTCAATGTATTTTCAGAACTGAGAATAAATTAAAGGACTGAGAGATTGATTTTATACAGAGTCTATGAGAGGGTTGAGGCTAGCTGGGAATAGGAGCTAGGAGTGATTAATGTTCTGGGTGCTGGAGGTGTTTGCCTTCTGTTCAACCCATGGAACAGAGTCTGAGAAAGTAGGCTGGAGGGGACATGATGCAGGCAGGGGAAGAGTTGTCCCCTAAGAGAAATGAAGTTTCTCCCTGCCTTTGCCACAGGATTCCTCTGTTGTAAGGGAGCTCACCTGGAGCAGAATGGTCCCTCTATGTATCCTTATTTACTATGTGTCCTGCTTGGCCCAGCTGCAGAATTTCCAAGCTCCCTGTTAAACCAATTTGAGATCCAAAGTACGCAAAATTAGGAGATGCTGGCTTCAGGTCCTTGTTTGTAAAAGCAGAGTGTTAATACTCCCATACTTCGTTAGGGTGCTGCAGAAATAAATTTGTTTCTTAACATGAGATGAAAGTACAGGAAAGGAAACTTCAGCATTTTAAAATCAGAAGAATAAATAAAAGATGGGGTCGGACACTGCAAAGAAAACGAAATATGGAATAACTTCTCATTAATTAAGTAGCATCAGCCTGTGCACCAAGTAAATGAGGAATACAAGGGGGAAGTTAATATTTTAGTATTTATTTGACCAGTGATTTTATACAGATGTACAGGAAGACTGTACTGAAGTTAGAGAATTAGACTTCATTCTGACACTTCCTAATTCTTTGGAGCATAATTTTGCAGTCTTAATGTTGAAGAGTTCTGTGTGTGACTTGAATATACACAGGCTTTTTAGAAGTCATTATTGTTATTTAGCTAATTTATTGAAAGGCAGCTCTGCTTTTCCCGATGGACCTGTGGAGAGAACAGCACTTGCATCAAAGCTGGAGCATGTGCCTGTTAAATTAGGCACTGGGCATGCAAAGGGATTGAGAGGTGCAGCCACACTTTTCTTCCTCAAAACATGTTAAAGCTGTCCTGCAGCAGCTTTTGTGTGGTGTATCCTGGAAAGATTTGTAGTAGGTTCCCCAAAAGCCAGTTGTGTGGAGCTGCTTTTTGAGAGCATTTGAACTCTGCAATGGAACCCAGCAACTGATGCCCATGTGAAATCTGGCTGCAAGAAATTGGCCTGGTTTGCTGAGTCATGGTTGCTGTGCAGAAATCAGGTGTACAGATCTCCCATGACCCAGGGCTTGTGTGACTGGTGATTCCAATGGTAAGTCACTCTGTTAGGGACCTAAATATTTCAGGAAAATGTCTTCCTGAGGAAATACAAAGTAGGAATCTGTGAGAAAGGGATCTTTTATTCAGGAAAAAAAAATAAATGCGGGGGGGGTGCCAATTCCAGAAAATCTCAATCTTTACTACAATTTAAATTTTCCACAGTGTGTATTACAGTATCTTGGATGATCTTCATCAGCAGACTCAGTTTTGCCATGTTTCTAGGTGTATACACTTTCTGTAGTCTACCTCAGAAAAATGAGATTGGCTTTCTGGAGGGTGTGCTTTGTGTTTGATTAGTGAGGGAGAACTGTAGATTTGTAACCTCACTTGCTGAAGAATTTGTATAGAGGATGTCAGGTAAAACTGCAAGAGAAGGAATTCATTGCACAGTGAGGGCAGGGCTCCAGGGTCCAAAAGTTATGCTTTTAAAATTGCTGTAGATGACATGCCAGATGAATTGATGACTTCCAGGGTATGGGGAGCAGCACTTTCTCAATACACTGAATACACTGAAGTTTCTGTTTATGGGCTAAGCCACAAACAAGAAAAAAACCATATGGCCAAAAAATTGTAGACCTAAAAATACCTTTGGTACTATTTTATTGTTTTAGGTTAGAACAAGAGTTAAAAATTAAATGGTATTTTTCTGTGTTAGGTTTTGAAAACATCAATATCAAATGCATGGATTTTGGATATATGTTCTTTAAAAAGCGAGAATTCACAAAATGTAAGTTGTGACTCAACTGTGTATTAATAACAAGTAAAAACCTTTTCTGGTTTTTGCTATTTCCTTCACATGGCACCACGTGCAGATGTCAGGTTCAGGTGTGCATCCCAGCCTTAACAATCACTGCTAAGCAGTAGGAACTGATAGTAGGTGAATGCAATTCACTGGAGCCTGGCATTCCAGAAGCCCAGGGTATAAATTACTCATCTAGCAATCCATAGGTCTCCCAATGCTGCATTTCCCCATAATTGTTGTATCAGTGCAATTAAATTCTTTTCCCCTGTCTTGCTCTTTCCAAAAGGTATAAACAATTAGAGTTTGTACAGGATAAAATAAATTAAAATAAATAAATAAGCTATATTATAAAATAAATAAATTAATTAAAAGCACTTACAGTAAAACTTTTTTGGCCTTGTTGTGGAATTTGGAAGAGAAGGAGGGTTTATCTCTGCTTGTCTGAGAACAAATCCAGCTGCAAAAGCCAGTATGGCTTGAATCTTCCTTTGGCCACAATATAGTTTAATGTTTTAGATGAATATGAAAGGGCTCTGATGCAGAGTGGTGCATCTTCGATGTTTGCTGAGTAATGTCAGAAACAGAAACCTGTACAATGCACTTCTGTGAAAGATTTACTGGAGAAAGACTTTGGGAGGTCCAGGCACCATTCACTTGGCTGCTGCACTTTTCTCACTGGAAGGGGTCGGACTCCTGGGAAGATGCCTGGTTAGAAGAGTAACAAGATGCTCCATATGGAACCAGCTTTGTGAACTATGTATAAAGTAAGTCCTTTCCCAACAGACCAGAGAAATCATTCCCAGGAAAGGCATTTTAAGTTCAGCTGACAGTGGCATTGATAAGGGATACAGGTACATTTATTAGAGTATATTTGGCATCCTATCAAAACCATTTGCAAACACTTTTTAATAGGTCCCCTGCCAATTGTGTTTTTAGAAAGGGACGGTTTCCTGCAATGTTTCATTTCAAATGACTAAAGAAACACTTTCCCTAAATATTGACATACTGAAATTCACAAGAGTTGAATTCCTTGTTATTGAAAGCAACAGCAGATGTATTGCTGGAAAGATATGAGAGTCTTTGACTCTCACTATGAGAGTCAAAGTAAGCCTTTTCTTTCTTTACTTGGCAGGTTCCGATCCACCAAAATCTTAAAGAACTTCTGGCCATCCGGACAGAGCTTCAGAAGAGGGTTGAGGATTTGCAGCGGGAGGCTGCCACACGTTCCATTTCCTCCTCTTCTGACAGAGGTTCATCTCCTTCCCATTCCACCACACCAGTGCACACCTCTGTGTGATGTGGAACTAAAGCCATGTGAAAAAAATTAGTGTCAGATAACACAGAGGGTGAAATGCTTTTCCCATCACAAAAGGATTGTGAGTGACTTGTAATTGCTATGATCTACATGCCTTACTCTGTGTCTGATAATATCACAATGAGGCCAAAAAGAGCTTCAATAGATATGGTGTATTTTCTTGTTGGCAGTTCCTATATGTGTTTTGACACTCTAGCTAAGTCACCAATTGTGAAATTAAACTTTGTTTTGAGGAACTAACAATTTAGCCATTCTGAAAAGGAATCCATCTGCCAAGCAGACAGGAAAACGCCTCACACATTGTACTATGCCTGGTTGAGAGATGATGCTTACACAGAACACAAAATGGGTTTTTTTGAATGGGAGCTCCTTATTTCACTCAGATTTTTTTTTTTTTCTAGAGCAGTTTATTTTTTTTTTTTTAGGTAATGAACAAATGTTTTCCAGTGTAGTCAGTTTTACATTTCAAACTAAATATGCCATTAAAAGTGGATGAAGTTGAGCTGGAGTTATCAAGTACACCACACTGACATGTATGATGTAATATATTTGGTAAAGCATGTACTTTAGGTTTTTTAATGCCTTTTGTACAAGTTGAAAAAAAAGTTTAAAAAACTGTTTAGCTTATTGTTCAGTTTCAGCCTCGTGAGCTAGGGTTAAACTTGCTCATGTCAAGCTCTTGTACAAAGTAAAGGTTTGTTTTCTAGCAAATGGTAATATTTGGGGTTGAAATGACACTCAGCTGAGTAAATTGCATAATCTTTATAGCTCCACATTGTGATGCGTGTTTTGTTTCTAAGTGTACACACAAAATGCTAAGCTGTGTGCGTTTATACCCATGTGTATGTGATGTTAAACATAGGCATCCTCCCGTGGGTTTAAGCTGTACATTCAGAAAATGGAACCTGCCTGTCCAAACCCTTCTGAGGACCTTAACTTGCAACGATTTTGTTTGACAAAGTTTTTTGAATAATGATACTGTTTTTCTTGTAATAAAGCCTCTTGACTTTTTGTTTTTTAAATTCCTGCTAGCATTTTTTCTGTAAAGGAATAATTTAACTGTGTTGTCACGTTAAATAAACATTCCCAATGTTCTCGCATCTCTCCTCAGAAATACTCATATTGGAGACAATTGATAACTGTCACATTCCTCCTTTTAGAAAATTACTCACTGGCATTCTTGGAAGGCCTAGAAATCATGCATGCTGCAGATTTTCCCTGGATTGTTTTCCTTGCTGTGTTTCATGAAAATCTAAGTTCTTCTTAGGAAACTTAAATATTGCAGCTCTGCTTCTTGACTCATGCTTGTATTGCTCCAGGTTCTGCTGGTGGGAATTAAGCCCCATTCTTAAGAGCCAGTTATGAACTATATGGTGATTGTGGGTTTTACTGACTGCAAGGATTCATTTGTTGCTGCACATTTGTTCCAAATACACAACAGCACTTTTCTGTGTCTCATTCTCTGCATTAACTCTACCCAGCACATAGTTAATGAGTCCAGTGAGCTGCTGAGCACCTTCCCAACTTCAGCTAGAGAGGCTGAAGTGCTGTATCCAGTCTTACATGTTTACTGTGCAGTGCAGGGGGTATTTAAACCTGTCCTTTATATTGTAGTGAATGATTTTTATGATAAATATTCACCTACACAAACACGGTTTAGGAAGGCTTGCAATGTTGCATCTCTTAATCAACCTCAGGCTTTTTATAAATAGATGAAAGATGTTTTCCTGTAAAAATGATTCTGCTGAACAGTGTGTCAGCAGTGAATTCTACATGGCCAAAAATACGTTGAGCTGGTATTGAATTAAACTCTTCTGTACTTCAGATTTCCCTTGACATTTCAACTGTGTATTAAAGTAAAGCACATTATCTCCAAAATGCAGTGCTAAAGAAAATCTTTTGAAGTTTTTCTCTATATTTGTGCTAATAATCACAATATTTTCTCTATAATTATTGCAAAAGTGATGACTGGATTAGCTTGGGCATTCTGAGATTTTTAAAGCTTGGATTTCTAAAGCTAAACCCTGAGAATTTGGTTTTGCATAGAAGAACTTCAATTATTTCAGATGACTGGCTGTGTATCCACCAGTTTCAACACAGCTCAGCAAGTCTCTGATGTACAAGAAATATCTGGGGGAGGGTCCTGTTGTTCCTTGTGTCAGCACAATGGATGGGTTTGTACATAGCATAGTAATATTCAGAGATATTCTGTAGTTCATATGGGCTAGTTAGAGCATAGCTTTACACTGAAGAGATGATTGTTGTTGTACTCAAGTCTGCTTCCTGATAATCAGGGTTTCTCCTATTGATTTAACAACTAATTGGTTTGGGGGGGGGGGGTTGTTTGTTTGTTTTTTTAATAAGGCAGTATTGAACTAGCTAAGTGAAGAGCAGAATCCTGTTCCCTGTCTGATGCGCTTTGGACAGAGCTATTAACTTCTGGTTCAAAAGCTAGATCTCCTGCTTTGGATTTTGGTTTTGACTGCTCAGTATAAAGGGAATGTGCAAAGACAGCAAGCAGTTACATTTGGCTTGTAGGATTTTCCTACTGTCAATGACATATGAGAGGGGTTTGTACAACCTGAATCCAGTGTCCCAGAAAGAGATGAAGCCTTGGTAACCAGCTGACACATTTCTTGCTTGTAACGTAAGTTAAGTGAATCATCAGCATCAGAGACTTGGCCATTTTGGTCCTGTATCAGAGCTGAATTTACACTTCTTTCTCCTTTGTAGATAAAAGTAAATTTTTTGTTGTTTCATTAAAATGGAAGAAGGCTTTTAAAGCCAGTAAACACTTCTAACTGCCTGGTTCTGTTCCCTGCAGAGGCAGCCTTCTCAAGGAATTACAGCTTTAAATAAGAAGTGTTTCATTGCTTTCTTTTTCCAAGAGAAGCTGTACTGATTCATGTGCTGTATGTGGTAATACCAAGAACAGCTGGTTCTGTAGAAGTTGAAAACAAGGAATCAAGAGCTCTCATTCATGTGCACTAAGCCTCAACAGAGTACACAGTAAAATGGGAAATTCAGACTATTCCCCAGGTGAAATATTTATGGTAAAAAGCAAAAAGGAATGTCCATTTGCTGAGACCTGTATCTGCTGAGCTAAGAGGGTATTGATAGCTTTTAACTGCCAGATCTTGTGCAGTTGGGAGGAAAGTGTTAAGACACATGAGTCAGAAGTAGTTAGTTTGACATATAAAAACCACTTTTCTTGACTTTTTTGACTGTGAGACTGAGCATTGCATCATTATACTTAAAAGCTTAGTTTGCACTGCATGGGACATATATCTACTGGGTGTGAAAATGTAAAGAAAACTGCAGGAAACCTTGGGCACTGCCTTGAGTTTAGCTGCTGGGCGACCTGAGGTGGGAGGGGAGAGAGAGAGTGTGTATGTGTGTGCATGCATGCAAATGCTCCATTTTTTACCATTAAAGTTTTCTTAGTGATATTTGTTTTCTCACAAAGTCTGTTTTGGATCAGTTTTTTAAATGAAGTTTTCAGTGTAGTTAGAGAAGAGGTGATGTACCATAAGGATATAGCCAAACACTTGCAGCTTACTTCCATCATTAAAAAAAATAACACAAAAATAATCAAGTCTAAAATGTCTTTCTAGTCAATTTGGTTTATTTGGTGTTTTCCAAAGGTAGTTAAATTCTGGTTTTAACTCCTGTGACCCTTACACGCACATTAACAAAATGTATTTTGTTACATTGTAACATTCAACCTTCATTTGGTACAGGTCACTTCTTCAGCAGCAAGGAATCTGTCTTGCTTCTAAGTTAGAACTTCACTCAAAAGAAAATGTTCTCTAATTTCACAACCCCATTGTTTCTGAACTTCATTTGTTCCTGAACCTCATATGTTAGAGAAGCAATTTTTAAAGCCTCAGCCTGCCAACTCATCCTTCTTTTTCAGAATCTGAAACAGTATTGTGGACTAATTCCACTTTTATCACAACAAATGAGTAGTTAAGAATGATGACAATGGAGCACTTGTAAGGGTTCGTTAGTGGGGTTGCATGAAAATTACTGAGTTTATAGTGCCAAAAAGATCTGAAATTCATGTTAGAGTATTCTCAGCTGAAGAATCTGAAACAAAGTACTGCCAAAGGAAAATGCAAGTAATTTAAAGAATAAACACAAAACGAGCCAGCTGAATTCTTTCAATTCTCTCTTTTCTCTGTCAAACCTTTGCAAAACCTTTTCTGAATCATTTTATTGCCATTTAAAATAGCTTTAGAAGTGAGGTGTCATAAGAAAAAGAGCTCACGGCATACATCGTACAAAAACTCAGGATATCTGTATATATAGGTTTTGGACTCATTAAAGAAAAAAAAGCAAACCAATTCTCTAGTGGTTTATTGCCTTTTTTATAAAGGATAAGAATGTTCATGCCATGTATACAGAGCTTAAATGCAGGATTTTTTAAAAATCCATATCCCAATTTAAAGTGAATAAATCATAATTAAACGAAAGTAGAGGTGAGTGCTGGGTCAGCTGTTCCAGAACTTAGAGCACTACTAGGAAAATACACAGGAAACCTCTCAGTTGCTATAATGCCTAAAATATAGATGATGTATAAACTCCATATTTCTCAGAGAGTGGTGGCAGCTCAGATGGAAGAAGGGACAAACAGCAAATAAAAAAAATCATTTGAGCCTTTGCTGACATTTACCACTAAGACTCTGCCTTTTGTTCAGTTTTGAAGAGAAGGCCAAGCCTATTTCTCTACTGAAGGATTTGCAAGTATTTTCCTATTCAAAATCCTAGAGAAAGAAATCTTGAATTCTGTCACTATTCACTTTGTAAGTGTTCTCTTTCACTGTGCATTTATGGATTTCCACAAACCTACACATTACACTAAGGTATAAGTAGTCACCAACATTATAGAACAGCCTTGGGCAAAGCAGCAGCTTCTGAGTCCCAAAAACTGGGGCGGGTTTTCCAGTGAAAGAGCTTGCTGCCTTTCTTTGTTAAATTTGTGACCTGCAGTATTTTGAATTAGACTTGTGTTCCTTCTATGCTCTAATATGAGTCCCCAGAGGAGGGGTAGGTGCTGTACTCTTTAAACCACACTGACTAGTTAGTGACACTCTGGTCAGACAGGTAGGGCAGGGTGAAACCCATGATCTGCATCTACAGGAACATGGTCACTGGCAAAGTGAGAGGAGGAATTATGAGCACTAGATCTAAACTGGGAAAACAGCTTCTAGTGATCATCTGTTACACACATCATCCACAGTAACTTACAGAAAACATACTTCATGCTACAGCTTTCAAATATGTTTGGGTAAGAACAAAAAACAAGTGCTGGTGCTTGGGACTGGAGATACACGAATTCAGCTGTGTGGCTTAGCCAGCACCTAAGCTCCTGTTGCAAATTCTGCAGACCATACTTCCTCCATGAAAACCTTTCTCTGGGAGTAAGCAAACAGTACATCCCATCTCTTTCCTATGCTTCCATTATCTGAGCCAATTATTAACATTTCTTTCCGATTCCAAACACATTCATAAAACAAAGCAGCAGAAGTTCAGAATAGTGTCATAGCCTAAGTGTTCTGAATAGTTGTGAGGCACCTTATAAACCACTGTAGCTGTTCTGCCAGAGCTAGTATAAGGCTTTAAAAATGCAAGTGTTAAAAAGAGCATAAAGAATTGTGCAGCAATTGTGAAATACTTAAACAAGTTACTAGGAAATTTCCTTCCAAATGCTCCTGGACTCATTCACCTCCTGGCAAGGCCTTCTGGAAGTTAAGTCTACCTGAAAACTGTGCATTTGTACATCATACTGAAAGGCTTGGTTTTCTTAATAACGTTCATAAAATACGGAATTTGCAAACCCATACAAAGTGCTCACATTTCAGGTTTATATATAAATAGTACCTTTTACACCAACTAAAGTGGAATTTCCTTCACTCAAGAGCATGCTTTTTAAGGAATCATTGATTTGGAAAAATGTATTGGAAAGTGGCAGTTGCTCACATTTTAGCAGGAGTCAAAAAGCTTGCTGGGGAGGGATTAGAAATCGAAACAGAAATTCTTGCAAGATATTGAAGGCTGGGTCTAAGGCAGCGGTTCAGCAGCGTGGCAGGGGCTGTGTATGCACTGTCCTGG